TGGTTTAGCATTCTTGGACAGTTTATTATTTCAATGACCATTTGAAGTCAGCAATGCTATAATTTTCATTTTACAAAGGAGGTAAGGAACCACAAGGCTAAATAATTCACCCAGTTCATAAGCTTGTAAGGAGGAGAAAGAGGATTAAACTCAAACAGTCTGGCTTCTAGGTCTATGTTTTCAACTCCTAAGCTTTCCTGCCTCTTCTAAAGATACCCAGTTTATTCCAACGTGACAAAGTAAGAACATCTGGAACCCATCAATTATTTTGTCTAGATCAAATTCCTCTTTCCCCCTCATTAATACACATGCCATACTTTAAGATTGTTATAAAGTCAGTCATCAGCATTCTCATTATGTATTATTGTTGTCTTAACTTAGAAGATTAATTGTAGACAATAGGAGTGTTGTATGAATATCAGGTTGACAACAGACACATGGGTATCTGTTGTGAATTTGACCTCATCACCACCACCTTCTAAGGTCTCATCTACAACACAGAAGCTACATTTCCTCCATCCCCTTTTTCTAGTGGGTTCCTGGTTAGAGTTTTCCAAGGCATTCATACTGCAAGAGAAACAGAAGACATTATTCTCATGAGGCAGACGCAACTAGATGCACAGCAGACATGAGATTCATAGTGGTCTAATGTAGTGATATATGGCCAGTCTGTTTCCTTAAAGAATAGTGCCATTCTGGGACATATTTTCAGGCTCTATTGCTAAAAGTTAGACATTCAGAGGCATCAGTAAGAGGGAGTCCATATATAGTCATCACGTTTGTTGTTGTAGCCACTTTGTTCATGGAACCATCATGCCAATTCAAGGGTAGCTGGTGACAACATTGCCTGGTGACAGCACTGGCTAATGTCAACTGGCCAAGCCAGTTGTTTGCTTGGTTATTTCGTGTCTCTTCAATGGTGGGTGCCCTCTGGCAGGTGCTCACATGTGATGTGAATATCTTCAGATATGGCGCTCACTCCCATATGTGTGTTAGCATACACCTGAATTGTTTTGTCTCCAGTCTTTCCATTTTTTTAACATTTCCAGGCCCCTGACCTAGGCCATGCATCACTGCCATAGGTTCCAGATATATTCCACCTTAGGCCACTTATATTTCCATTGAAAGTAGATAAACTACCTGTATCCTTTAAGTTTCTGTCCATTAGAATTTTTTTCCCCTTTCCACTATCTTTCAAGGTGATTTTTGAGTGTGGCTGTTATACAACACTATTCAATGTTGGCTTGCATCCATATACTAAACTATTCATAAGTGAAGTGCAGGCTGTTTCTTTCTCCTTCTAGTTTTGTAAACACCCCTACCTACTTCTCAATATGTCCATTGGTGTGAGCTGATTGGGGGTGTGTGACCACCATGGTGATGTGGGGGTCTCTGATGCTTGATCCTGAAGCTTATGTATGTCCTCTGGTCCTGCTCGTGCTGAATAATGGGGTGTCTATGCCATTTTAATTTTAGCATGGATTGCTGCTGGGCCAGCTTGATTTTATGACTTGATGTTTCCAACATAACTCAGCTCTTGATGACAAGTTCTGGCACAGTTACTTGATATCCCATGGTCAAGTATTCCGTCTCTACCCGGGTTCAGTAACTCCTTGGAGCTGTCCTCAAAAGGGAAATAAATCTCCCATGAATGTGGCATGGCCCTGAATTGAATTTCAGAAACCCATTTTGTAGTAGCCCCAGTGGTCCACCATAAACTCTGTATTGTAGCTTTTTTTTTGTGCTACTGACACCTTCACTACTAGAACATATGGCCCAAGTGGTGGGAGTGCTTATACCACAGAAAGAACCTACTGCACAGCCCATTTATACTTTGGGTCCCACCCACAGGTGGCTCCTTTTCACATCAACCAGTATTCTTGGGTATAAAATGTGTTTTTTTTCCTCAGGACCCAAAGAAGTTGCTTCTTATTTATAGATGGTGCAGATTGCAACCATTTGTCTTTTACTTCCCAGAAGATATCCTGGCCAGGCTCTGACAATGGTGTCCTTATTGGCAGCTGGGTGGTGAGGGATTCAGTCCTCAGATCTGGTTCTAAAACTTTTCTGAGTATTTGGTAGTGCTGGCCCTTCAGGAAGCAGATAACTAGATGGAGTTAGGAGTACAAGAGGTTCCTTTTAAGGTATGCAAAAAAGATAAAGGAGGAAGAAATAAGATCAGGTAGCGCAAGCATCCAGACCTCAGTCTAGACCTGACACCTGTGGAATAAAAGGTGTCAGGTAGGGAGAGATGCAGATAAAGCAAGATGAAATTTTTCAGCAAAAACTTCCTATTAAAGGAAGGAATGTTGGGAAGAAAAGCACAGATGCTAGTAGCTCCTTAATGGTCTGTCATTAGCTGGAGGCTATGCAGGAAGCTAGAATCTTACCTTGAAAGCTAAGATAGGTCCGAAGACTGAAGTTGAAATCTAACATTCAATTTTCCTCCCTGTAACTGAACAGCAAGGCTTTTCTTGAAGGCAAATCTCCATGTAGTTGGCCTTGAGTCAAAGAGAATGTAAGGATCCAGCACAAACATACAGGGGCTGGCCTTACAGGGAAGCACGGACAGTTTATCTAGAGTAACGCAGAAGAAGGTGGGGTTTATAGGCACAGAGGCTGAGGGACATGTAATTATGATGATGAGAGTGTGTGCATGTTATCTTCTGATGACTTCTGGTGAAGTAGACAGCAAAGTTATCTGCTGCGTGAGGATGAGAGAGGAAGCATTAGAGGTGTGAGGACAGCGTAGTACCAAATGGAGAAGGGTATCCCAAACAGAGGAGTCAGTGTGTGTGAGTTGTTACTTTGCGTGGTTTCACGTATAATGGATGGAGGTAGGATGAGGTGGGAGAGGTAGGTTGAGATGATGTTATGAGTGGCCTTAACTGGTACATCCATGATTCAATTTCTTTCATAACTTGTGGGACCTAGTCATGGTTTTAAAGAGGGAGGAACAAGTATGAAGGACACAGGGACAAGAACTAAGGGGAGTGGAAATGGGAGGGAGGTGGGGATCACGGGGTGGGGTGGGCTGGGATGGGAGAAACAGACAGAAAACTTTACTCGAAAAATAACTAAATAAAAATTTAAAAAAAGAATAGCATTTATGTTGGGAACAAATGCCTTTGGCAACACGGAGAGTGAATTTGTGAGGGAAGTACAGGTCTCCCTCATGAGGTGAATGCTCACTATCCAAATAATCACTATAACTACTTGTAAACCATCCACCCTAAATGTACTACTTTAGTTGAAACCCATGCTAACAGGTCTGCATGGGTGTGCCAGCAAAAAGCACTTGGACTGGAACCTGGACTAGAGGATGCAGAAGGCACGGCTGCTTTACCTACTTTGTTCGGTTAGGATGACGTCTCACACTCCTGTTTTTAGCCATTTTGTGAATCTTTGCTATCATCGTCACATTATTAAATAAAAGTGTTTTTAAAAAGAGTTAGGAAAAAACAATGAATAAAGGAATTGTCTAGGAAAGCCCATGCACGTCACAAAAATGCTGGAGGTGATGAGGTGTGTGGAGCACAGTGAGGCATTAAATATGTAAGGCCTGGCCATCCAGGTCTGCCTCTATTGCTCATATGATAAGAAAATAAATATCATGGAAGCATTGTTGATGCTGGAGAGCTTCACTGTCAAGTACAGCATGATATTTTTTAATAACTAGAGAAAAGCCTTATGTAATGGATTGAGAACTGTACTCAGCATGAGATGTTATTTAGCACCATGTTGAGAGAGCAGAAGGCACTAGCCATCTTTAAAGATCTAAGAAGGCGCTGAAAAGAAATGATGAGGTACGGGAGTTGAGTTTCAAAGCAAGTCAGGGATGGTTTCAGAAATTTGAGAAACTAAGATTTTATAATGTAGGATCTTTGGCAGGCCCAGCCCAACACTCGCAGAGCCTGGGGTAAAGTGAAAGGGAAGGTCCAGGCCTCAGCCCAGCAAGACTCCCCATGACCAGCTCCATCACACGCTGTGAGGGGCCTTGCACCCCAGAGTGTGAACACTCCAGTCCTACTTCAAAGCTCTATTCGTTGACTCCTTCCCAGGCCCAGGCTCAGCAAAGAGTGAGGGGTGGCTGCCCTTCACATGTCAGCCAACTTTTGTAGGATCAGTTTGGAGAAAGGCCTGTGTAGACCTTGGAAACAAGTTTTTGTTCATCAGGACGAGAAATCCCAGGGTCTTAGGCACCCAGATTTTGGTCTAAGAGAGGGCCAGAGTTACTGGGTGGTCACACCCACTTGATCTCTAGAATAACTGCTCTTTGAAGAGGGAGCTGGCCAGAGGAGGACCAGAGCTAAGCCCAGGGTAAGTTTGCTGATATCTAAGGGCAATACTGATTATGGATCAAAGCAGTTTTTAATAATAGTAAGGTCAAATCGGTCTTTCTCAGTGAAATAGTGGATGGAAAATCTTTAAAAGAAATTTTAGATAATGCTGAAAGATGTATTGCTGTTGCTTATGAATATGATGATGACCCAAATAGGCACATCATATTTTCAGAAGGTGAGGTCATGTACCATCTAACACTATCAGGAGCTGTATAATTGCAACCAAAGGACTTCAGAGAGATTAGTAATGAGACCCATTCTGGTGCCTTGTCTATAGTTTTAGATGGTCGTTTGTTTTAGAAGTATTGGGTGCCAATAAGTGGTCTGCACAACCCAGATATTTACCTGTATGCTAGTTTTTTTCACCAGCTTCCTCTAGTTAATCTTCATTCACCAGTAAAGGTCATCTGTGACTATAAATTTCATCTCACTCTTTTTTAACATCAATATTCACTCCAGCAACTCTTTTAATTATTCCTAAGCAGTTTAAATTGTCCTTTAATATATTAAAAATTTGTTAAGTGTTATTTGCTTTCAAGTATATACCCTAAACATATTAACAAAATTCACTGTGTATTTATATTACAGTTTATATTTATTGAAGTATAAAAGGAAAAGATAATTGGTATAAAATTCTTATAGTTTTCTTGTATACTGAAGACAAGTCCACCAAGTCCATTACATGTTAGATAATTGTTATTTTGCATGCTTAGTATCATGGAGGTACCCTGGAAGGATCACTGTACAGGTATTTACAATAGTTGCTTCTCAAACCATCTGAGAAGGAAGGCCCTCTTAAAAAAATTTTCAATCTCAAATTGATTCAAATTGCAGAAAGTACAATAAAAATGAATTACAATCATATCAACAAAGATAGAATTGATTGAAATCAAGGAGCAGTTTGATGGTAGCAGCTCCCACATTCCTATGCTGCAGAGAAGAGCCCTTCATGGATGTTGAAGCTTCTGCAGAAATGGATTTCTCACGACCTTGCCGAAGGGAGAGTTCTCTGAACCCACTGGAGGAAGGCTGTGAAGAGGTAGATGAGCAGATTTTACTTGAAAAATCAGCTTCAGCATTCCAAAGCATTCCAAATCTCGAGATATCTTATTTTATAATATTTAACAATATTCTGGCATTTAAATTTTACTTCATGTAATATAAGCTTTGGGTCCAGGTTGCATCAAGCAACCAAGCAAAGTGATAAAGCCAGTCCGTGACTTTAGAGGTAGTACACCGAATCCAGATTCTACTTAGTTCCTCCACATCAATGAATGATATCAACATAATTCTTTCAGCCTCGTTCAACACCATTAAGCTCCATTCCTGTACATATTCCCTTGATCTGACAATTTCCAGTGTTCACATAAATGTGGAACAGTAGGAAATTCATGCATTGCTATGATGGCCGGTTTTATGTGTTGTATTGGCTAGTTTATAGTCCCCAGTTATTCATTCAAACTAACTTAAGTGTTGCTGTGAAAATAAATAACAAAAAGCAGACTTTATGACTTCCCTGGTTCTAGTATGAGTGCCTGGGTAACAGTAATATCATTCAATGTGACACCGATTTCTAAGCAAGGCTATGGGATTAATTAGCTTTGGATATATTCGTTTAGGGAAATCTGGAATATCTTTCCACCCTACACAGAGCAAGCTATACTCATGTTTTTTTTTCTTCTTACTTTACTTTTAATGCGTTTTCTTGACTAGTTAGGAATATCATGAAGATAAATGGCCTTGACAGACTGTGTCTAGACTTTGATAAAGAGTATGATGAAGCTTCCCATGTTCCTTCAAGACCTGATAGAAACTGTAAAGAAGAGAGAAGTCTGGTTAACTGTGCTCAAGGTTTTACATGGGATTAATTATAGGTTGGCCCTGAATGGATTAACAGCCACTAGCTCTCTCTAATACTTAAAGGTATTTTGTTAGAGCTGTTCAATGGCAAGTGGTAAGAATGGATTAAGGAGCTAATATTCACAGCACATTGCAGTACCTTACATTTATTTTGTGCATTCTGAGTGCTGGCTGTGTCACATATACTTTCTGTGCATTATTGCCTTTTAATTTTCACAACAGCCCTTTGAAATAAGTACTGTTACATTGCCAATGTCATAACTAAGGGAGCTCAGCCTCAGAGAGGCTAGGTAACTTGCCATGGTTATTCAGTAGTTCACACACCTACTGCCTTTCCTGAAATTTCCTAGAGTCCATGGTAGGAGCCAGTCTAGCAAAAATGGTTATGAGCGTGCAGTGTGAAAATCAGGCCAGGCCTAAATTTTGATTTTCAGAGACATTCACTAACCCTGTGGCTTGGGTAATTACTTAATCTCTTTAATTCTCGAAAACCTTACTAAAAATGGCAATGATAACAAGTGCCAGATTTCACAGGTTGTTTTTGTGTGTGTGTGCAAAGAGAAGTGAGATTAATGTATGTAAAGCCTTTATATGCACAAGACCTTGTATTACTGAATTTTAGCTAGGAGATACTCTAAAATAATATAAGAGAATGGCTAAGATGAATGATAAGCTATTGGGAAGATATTTTTGCCTGGTACCCGTGGGTTTAAATCATCCAGTTGGCTCCTATGTATAGACTGATTCCAGATGAATCCACACTATGAATAATATGCACGTGGAACATTTTAGAATAAGCTATTTTCTACAATGATGACAAAGCAAAGAACTGACTTCTTGGACTTTTTTCTGTTGCTCGGAGTCCAGTAGGCTGGAGTCCAAGTTCATTTCTGCTTCAAGAGATGAGAAAGCAACCCTGCTGATGGGTGAGGTTATCACATATTTTTAAGTTTTGGACAAGCAATTAACTCACAGTGGATGTCCCATCAGTGTGAAGCAGGGCATGATGGAGTAGCTTCAAATGATAACTGGGTGATAAATGGCTTCTCTCAGTCAGCTCGCCAAGCTCACTCGCACCCAACAGGAACGGTTAGCAAGGAGCCAAAGGGGGCAGCTCAAAGCTTTTAAAGGCTTTTTAATGTAACTTTTCTCATTACAAATGTAAAATAATGTTTGCTGTAGGAAACTGGGAAATAGAGATGTCCTAACTATATTAATAAAAGTAAAGACATTTTCCAGTAATACAATCCCAGTTACGGTCATGGCCTCGTCTAGATTTTCTGTGAGATATGCAGTTTTATGAAAAAGAAATACAGATTATTTTGAGAGAAAATTTCACAGATATTTTTCATGGCTGCTTTGTATTTCAGGCTTTCTGTTGAAAGGCTTCTTTCTGTGTTGCACTATGAAATTTAAGTCAACATGGTATAATTTCTTTTTCCTTAGAAAACAGGCTCAGCTCCGTGGATGCTGTCATTGGTTCATTTAAACCTTAAAAAATGGGTCTACGTTTTCATTCCAGGGGATGGTACTCCACACTGGCCCTGAGCTGAACGGAGCCCTCCAAAACAGCACTGCTCTGAGGGGGATGATTGCTTTGCTTTGCCTTGTTCTTAGCTTCTTGCACTGTCAAGAAAGCGCAGGTGTACAGTTTAGGAGAGTGTAGGTATTTACTTTGGATAAGGCTCAGGAGGATATTTTTCAGTGTTAAAGAAGTCCATATTTTCCAATAATTCTTTTGTAGTTTCTCAGAAACATTTGGGGAAGCTAGAAATTATGTAATGTTTGCAATTTTTATTGTTTAGATGAGAGGCTTATTTTCTCACTGTGTAACCGACTATTTGGCCTCTTCCTGCGGCTGCTTTCTTCCCTTCTGAACACCTGACAGCTACACTTACAGTCACCTGTCAGGTGCTACGGAGAGCAGCGCACGCAAGCTCCAGGACACCCGTGGGGTGTGTTCATGCAAACCCGAGAATATCGATTTTATCTTCACCTAGCAAAAAACCTGAGGCAAATGCGTCAATGTATGAATTACACAGGGAAATGTGAAACTTCTAAAGATTTGGGGGAAACAAAAAGAATAAATTATTTAGTGACAAAATTCTCTGGCATTTTAGGGGCTGTTTTTGAGCCTGGTGTTACAGGGAAGTAATTATTCTTGAGGCAAGTGTGATTCGAAGATGTGCAGGTGCTAAAGAGAAGGTCGAAGTGGTTGAGAAGGGGCTGTGAGGGGTATTCCTTCAGCCTCTGCCGAAGTCTGACTGCAAGTTTCGTTCTTGGGGAGTCTCTGAACCTGTGACTACAATGGGCGGAGGGTGATGATGGGGAGTGGTGTCATAAGTCTCCCATGGGGCTTTTGAAAGTATACATGATCCCGGATGAGAATCTTTAGGTATCGATGATAAGAGTGCATGTAGAGAGAATTATATGAAACATCGGTGAAAAAAATACAGTTAGACTTCCATGAGCTAATTATCTGTACGAGATCAAACTTTCTCTGAGAACAACCAAAATAGCTCAAAAGAGAAAAAGAAAGAAAGAAAAATAACCTTTGAAGCTCTCTGAGAGCTACAAAGACACCCAGGATCCGTGGACACGTATCCACGGGAGAAAGGAAGGGCAGAGAGCACCGTGTCAGGCATCACTTTTCTTTCAAGGCATTTGTAAATTCAGAGCAGCAGAGGTTGAGGAGCTGAGCAAAGATTTTGCCTGAACAGAGGGCAGGAAAGACAAGAACTGGGATTTGGAGCCTTTTGAGGCTATTTCCTAGGTGTGAGGATGAATGGGAAATGACCAGTTCTTAAAGACAGGAACGCGGATTCAGATTTATTCAATCTCACAATGGAGACAAAAGGAAATACGTGAAGAGACAGTTATCCCATCTCTCTGTCCCTCCAATGACTGGGAGGAAGTAACCTCTCTCCGTCTACCCCAGGCCAGGCCCTCCACAGGGCTCTCTCGGTGGTCCCCCTCCACCTTCCTACACTGGTTCTTTTCATTATCGTTATTGCTCCTACCGCTGCACCAGATTGCTTTCTCACAGTTTGACATTCCTTCTTCATCTGGCATGCACCATGCCGTGAATTCAGAGGGTTTTTTTTTCTTGTCACTGGACTGCACGAAAGTACTTCTGTAGTGAAATGGACTGGGACTTCAGCTAGACACAGGACATTTCTCCGGGCTCCCTTTTTCCTCCCCAGGTAATCATATTTTAATTTTAAACACAGTTTAATATTTTTTGGAAAAATAATAAACATTTATTTGATATAGTCATTTTTAATATATACTTGATGACCAACCCCCACAGCACTGGGGCCTGGGAGTAAAGATTTAATCTTAAACATAAAAATCTTAAACGTATTTCAGGATTTCATAGAGTACTTAGTATGTTAACTAAGCACATTAACTTCCTTGTCAGGAATCTTGCTTCTTCCTGGCTACTTAGCACAGTGCAGGCCACGTTACATTGCAGACCCACCCAAGTTCATGAAATATGTGGTGTGGGGTCACCAAACATGCATTTGGAATGAATGTTATTGTACAGGGCAATTTCTGAGACCACTCAGTGAAGGTCAATACACTCTGCCTTTGCAATATTAAGTGGATTCTTGCTCTCAATGGTCACAGGAGGAGGGAGCAAGTCTCCTCTGAGCTTTGTCATTGTAAGTGCTGTGGGTGGTGAAGTGAGCCCCAAGTCAGTAAGCTTCTCTTCTGGACAGCCTTGCAGCAAAAAACAAAGCACGTAGGAGATTATTTTCTACTTCAAGTCACATTTTAAATGTCTACCTATATTTGAAAGTGAATATTTAGATACTAATACTAAATCAGATAATTCATAACTAATATTGCTCGTATTGTATGAACATATGGGCACATTATGTATTCAAGACCCATTTGGTAGATGGTCCCTTTCATTGGCTGTGAGTCACCTCCACAACTAATCCTGCTTTTGCAGGAAATAGAAAAACAGGAGCAATCATCACCTGACACAGTCGTATTAAACATGCACTGTTCTCGGAGTCAGGACACTCTGTAATCCCTCTTATCCATTCACTAGCCTGCTCACATTGATTTTTCTTCACTTAACATCTTATTTCTGAGATAAATTTGGACAGCCCTTTATATTGGTTTCCTAGGGCTGCTGCAACTAATTACCACAAATGTGA